TATTAAAGTTTCCCAAAAAAAAAAAAAAAAAGCCCTAGGTGATCAGACTGAGTGGTTCTTGGGAGAGGTTGCTACAGAAGGTTCAGAAGACTGTCTGGGCCAGAGAATCCCTGGGCTACCCTCTAGTTGATTGTAAACTTATTTCATCCATTAAAAAACACTTGGTAACAGATGTGCCAGGAGGCCTGCCTCTAGTTCTCACAGATGAGAAGACACTGAAGTGGCTGTTACGGTTCCCTGGACTAAGCTGCGTGGTGTGAGAGCTAACGTAGGGCTCACCTTGTGCTTCTTCCACAGTTAGACTGTGCAGGCGCCCCATGTTCCTGCCTGTGCTGGAGGAGGCAGTGCCCGGACTGTCAGGTTCTCCGCCTAAATCTTGACTCTGGGCGAAACCACTGCCCTGGGCGTCCAGAGCCACTGTGCCATCATTCTTTCCCGGGGCCTGGCCCTCGGGTCATTGCTCCACCTCTGTCCTGCCAGTTCCTGGCTGTGCCCCCAAGTTCAGTCCTCACATCTGGGTTGAAAAGAGGCCTCAAGAAGCTAAACGACTTAGTTCACACCAAACCAAAACCCTGCTACGCATTGATGTGATTCTAATTCGTGGTGGCCTCATGTCTCAAAGTAGCATTTCCAAGATACCTTTCAGAAGCAGATTGCCTCTGGGTGGGTTTGAACTAGCAGTCTTTTGCTCAGCAGTCTGTTGCTTACTCTGCTACACCTATAATGAAAAAGGATTTCTTGCCATATCCACCCTGTGCCTTTGCAGCCCCTCCTCCCACGTCCCTCCTGCCCTTGGACTCGGCTCTTTCCTGTGGGCCGAATGCACTGTCATATTCGGGCCATGGAACTCTGGCCACAGGCACGGCTAACACTGTCACAACAGATGGGGCTGGATGAGACACCCCTGAGCTGGGCTGAGGGCCTGGAGCCAACAGGGGGCACCGTTCTAGTTTGTGGGGAGAGGCGAAGAATGAGGCAACCTCATACTTGTGTCCACCGCCCCCTGCTGGATTATACTGGGCAAAGCTGGGAGGCCAAACACATGAAGGATTCCAGATGGAAATGAAGGTGGAGGCCCTGAAGGCCAAGGGTATCATATACATTCAGTCTGATCCCTCAGCATTCCTAAAAGACAGGTGGAGAAATGGAAGCAAGGGTCATACCTGTCTGCCTATCCATGTGTCACCCTGGGGCCCAGCATGGGGATGGGGTGTCCCTTATCTCGAAGTTCATTGGCATCTTTGTGGCTCACCCATGTTAGGTGGGCAGGTGGAAGGACCCAGTCTCCCAAGCTGGAGTGGACAGCATGTCACCTCAGTTTTGCTCCCCACATACTCCTCTTTCCCTGGTTTTCTCTCCATTTCTAACAGTGTGATCTCTACCAAGTCCTTGACACTTCCCTGAACCTGACCCCATTCCCTAACTCGGTCCTGGCATACCTGTCCAGCTGGTGCTCTGGGCTAAGTGATAGCCCATGTCTCTCCTGAGTGCTTTGGCTCATCCCGTCCAGAGAGGTACCATACGACCTCCAAAGCTGTTTCCCAGGTGGATTGACACTGCCGCCCTCATACCCCTCTCAACTGACCTTTATCGTTCAGCCCACATCCCATGATGCTGTTTTAGCAATCACTTGAGTCCATCTTTTTTTGCCACACCACAGCGACCCTCGGTCCTCTCGCTTAGATGACTGTGACAGATTTCCTTGTGGTGCCCTCAGCTCCTCTGCTTGTTCTCCACAGTGGCTGAGTGAGCTGCTGCCTCATGCTTTCCTTTCCCAAGCTTTTACAGGCTCCTTGGTATAAGGTTGATGGCTTCCCAGAGCTCATGTGGCCTGCCCTCTGCTGCTCCCCACCCTACAGGCCCCACACTTCTTCCAGCATCTCCAGCTCCTCATGTTTCTGTTAATCCCTGGTCTTGCCAAGTGCTGTTCCTTCTGCCTGGAGCACATTCCCACTCATGTTCTCAAGTACTCAGATCTTGCTCACCCCCAGCCACCTCCCAGGCTCCACATCATCACTTCCACTACAGCTATTCTGTGCACTGTGGCAGCCACTAGCCACATGAGGCTTTGAGCACTTGAAGATATTTGTTCATACGGAGATGTACTTTAAGTGTGACATACACAGCAAATTGCAAGGGCTTAGCACACACACACAGAGACTATAGAATAGAAGAACTTACTAATTTTTATGTTGAAGTGAAAATAGCTTTGTTAATATTAAGTCAAATAAGTTACTGTGGTGTGGTGTCAATTCAGAACAAAACCGTAGCACAAACCAAACACAGGAGAAGACTGCCCATCCCTCTGCGGAGCAGCTAGTGGATTTGAACCTTTTCCTTTGAGACTGCAATGCAGCTTCTTACCGTGAGGCCACTCGAGCTCCGTATAAGTGACTGTATTGTAGAAACAAGAGGAGATTGCCCATCCTTCTGCAAATAAGTGACTAATGTTGTTAAAGTTTACCTGTTTTGTTTTTTAGCATCCCTGGATAATATAAATGATTAATTCTTTTGGCTGATAATGGAAAGGTTGAGGGTTCAAGTCCACCCAGAGGCACCTCATAAGAAAGACAAGTCAGCCATTAAAAACCCTATGGAGCCCAGTCCCACCCTGACACGACACAGGTGAGGCCCAGGGTGTGCTCAGGAACACCTGTGTCACAGGCCCTAGACCCTGACCCCCTGGGAGGATGGAAGGGATGGGTGGTCCCTCTGCCCACAGTGCCCAGACCAGCCCAGGGCTTGGGAGCAACATACTGACTGTACAAGTGGCCTGGGAGGCACATGGAAAAGAAGCTGCTCATGACACCTTTTTCCCACCTTTTATTACTCAAATGGATGGGGATGCGAGGACAGGATAAAGCAAAGTCTCAATAAATAAGAGAAATGGGGTTGAGGCAGTGGGCCCGTGCCTGCGTGGCACCACATAAATAAATGGGTTGCTGTGCGGAGGGTGGGGGTGGGTGCTGGGCTGGGCAATCGCCCGCGCTGCCCAGGCCTGGGGGACAGATGCACCAACACAGGGACACAGGAACTACTGAGGCCAGAGGTGCCTCTCCCCATCACCCCCTTCCCAAAGCTCCTGTGATCTTGGGAGGGGGCAGCTGGGCAGATGAGTTTCTGTACCACCGCTTTGCCCAGGTCTAGTCTCCTCTTCCTTTCGCATTAAAAACAATGGGGAAGGGCAGGCACATGCACAAAGCCTCTTCTGAAGGCAGAGCCAGGATGGAATAGCCCCATGGGGGCCTTGAAAATGGAGGCTCTGACAGCAGCAAAAGTGGGGCCAGATAAAGCTACTAATGGGAGGGAGTGGAAGAGGGTCAGCTTGTCCCCACACTGGACCCAGCCCAGAACCTGCAGGGAGCTGCTGAGGCCCAGGGCCCTGAGATGTCCTCTCCCCCACTTCACAGTAAAAGCGTCAGCCCACAACGGCCAAGGCTTTGCCTAGGATTAAAACCCAGGAACACAGCCTCCAGCCCAGGGCTTTCGGGTGCCTCACCTCTTTACATGACCTAGAAGAGGAGGGAGAGGCATGTCTGCCTTGGGGCCCTGTACCAAAGTAGGAATGAGCCAGGGGTGCCAGGCAAAGGGCCCTCCCTTCCACTGAAGTTGAGCTCCTTGATGGACAAGAACCCTGCAGGCTCCAAGGGTCTGGCCAGGACAGGGGTCAGAGCAACCAGCTGGGGAGGGTGGGGCAGTGGGGGCTCTCGCTCTGCTCCTGCACACAGTGCCCGCCACCTGGCCTGCCTCTTCACTGGGTGGACGGTCCCACCTCCAGGCCTTGGCCCCTGCTGTGCTGGGCCGTTGTTTCTCTGTCCTGACAGGCAGCTCTACCTCCTCCATGAAGCCTCTGGTACCTCCCAGGGTAGAGCTGCAGTGTCCTTGGACTAGACAGCCTTTCAGATGACCAAGCTGCTCTCACTTAGCCGGACCACATAGCGGGTCTCCTGAGGGATGAAGGTAAAGGCTGGAGTTAAGTCAGGGACCTTGTGGGATCCAGGAAAGTGGCTCCTGCCCAACACTCCCTTAACACCCACAGCTGCTCATTGGTCAGGATTGGCTCACATACCAACAGACACCACATCTCCCTAGTCCTCACCTCGGCCTTGTTCTCTGGGGGAGGCTTCACCCACTTAGCATGGCTCCCACCATTGCCCAACAGTGCCCGCTGCTCAGGGAGCCCGGGTTGTGAGGAGTCAGAGAAATTGCCCCCTGAGGGTCCAGCTTCTGTGATGGTCTTCAATTCAGAGGCCACTGAACTTGTCCGCTGCTCAGGAATTCGAGCCACACGGAACCTGTGAGGAGGAGATGCGGTCCCCAGTTAGAGGAGGGGACACCATAGAGACACTGGCGGGCGTCACATTGCAAATTCACAGATCAGACCTGGAACCTGTCAACACCTGAGCCCATTGCAGCATCCTACCTCCTCCCACGGCTTCATTCTGCTCTCTGTACCCAGTCCCCAGCTCTTAGAGTTCAGGTGGAATGTCCCAGGAATTGCTCCAGGTGCAATGGGTATCATGTCCCTGCCTATGGGCTCCAGATAAGGACAGAGCACAGCTAGGAGGCCCAGACTTCTCTCCAGCCACCCACGGCTCCAGTGTGCTCAGGGTGGCTCTCTGAGGCACTGCCCCAGGGGTTTCCATGCTGGCCTCACCTGCCCACCGACAGGATGGTGATCTCCCCCTGGCGACCCACTTTGGCCCCGGCCTTGGGAACCCGGGCTGAGCTGGGCAGGAAGTTGGGGGCAGGAGCCGTGGCTGCTGCAGCCTCAGGAGACAGCAGCACCTCAGGCCACTTCTTCTGGCTACATCGGGAGCAGCAGGAGCCAGATAGTGAGGCCAAGCCCTGCACAGTGTGAAGGTGTTGTCGATGCGGGCAGGTGTGTGGCATGCTGGGGGGCCCTGGCGGCAATCTGCAAAGACACAAATAAAAGCTCCACCAGGCCGGCCAGGCCTAAGGACCTCAGGAGGGGAATGGGGGAGTCAGGTGGTAGGAGAGGAAAAACGTGTGGCTGTCCACCTGTGGGTTCTCCTATCCCACCTTCCTGCTCACCTGGGCACAGGCCTGTGGTTTGTCTGCACCAGCTGTTTGCTGTGATATTCTTTCAGCAGCTCTTCCAGTGCAGCTGCGTTCTCTGTGGGCGGCTGCAGTCAGAACCCACCTCTGGGCCATCAGGGGCTGCCCCCACGCCCGTGGAAACCTCCCCCAACCTACGCTGTCTGCCTTTCCCTCCACCCTCACTGTCAGCTGTGCTGGCCTGGAAGGCCGGCCGGGCCCAGGCTCGAAGAAGAGAGGACTAACCAGGGCCCCTGTGGCTGCCTCAACCTCTGTGGGAGGAGCTTGTCTTCTCCCAGGCACTGGGGTAGCTCAGACGGTGCCCTCACCTTTCTTCTCTGTGATCAGGCGCACCAGGACTCCAATTGTATCCTCGTTGGCATCTTCAGCCCGGAAGGCGGGGTTGATCCCTGGGGAAGGAAGAAGGGCCATGATCCTGGGTAGTCTGGGGAGACAGTGGGCTCAGAAGCTATGCCAGGTTCTGCCAGCAGAGGGCGCCCCAGACCTGCTAAGACTCAACAGGCCAGGCGGTGAGTAGTGCCTGTGTTTAGGTGGCAGCAAGTCTCCAGGGCTCAGCGCATCTGCGACTAAACTTCTACCTCAGCTTAGGGTAGTCCATTATTATTATCTTTATTATCTAGCATCACTACTTCCGTATCAAATAACCCTAGATACTTAGAAGTTTGGGGGTGAGGACGGCTTCCAAACTCCTGGACCCCTGGGTCCCTGCAGAATGGGGCAGCCTTCAGCCTCTTCTGGGCCTGCACTTGCCCCTCCTTGGCCTCAGGAAGCTGTGGGCTGACTCCCTGCCCACAGATACAAGCATCTCCAGCACAAACAGCACAAAAGTTCCAAAAGACCTCCAGCACACAGCTGTACTACCTCCCTGCGCCACCCTGCCTGTTTAAGTGTTTAACGGAGTGCTGTTGGTTCAGCTTTGGACCAAAGCTACAAGGGAGGTTGAGAATTTGGTGATAATGGAGCCACTGTGATCAAATCCTGGGTCAGAGCTCCCAGGACCTGTACCCAGACTGCAGCTCACGAGGCTTAGAAGATAAACACCATCCTAGGCACAGTGGCCCCGAGTCGCCATCTTTCTGCCAGTCCGCCTAGAGCGCGTGCCCCCAGACTTCAGTATCAGGAGTGGAAAGGGGCTTGGGCCAGTCCTCTGGCAGCCTGGCACGCTGGCATCAGAGATGCTATCTCAATCTTGACTCGGGCGCAGGTTCCAGTGGGCCCAGGACAGTGTACTGGGTGTGAGGCACCCTGTCCTACTAGCCTTTGGGAAGAGGAAAGTGGGGGCTTCCTAGGATGGGTGTGAGGGCGCATCTCTTCATCTGGCTCTAGGGCTTGTAACTCAAACCACAGCCTGGATGGAGCTGAAACTCAAGCCCCTCGAAGTCCCTGTCCGGGCCAGCCTCCCATGCCAGCCCTCCTGATGCTGAGGATCCTCCCACTCCCACTCCCACTCCAGGCCAGAGGTCAAAGGTCACACTGAGCACCAAGGAGGCAGACTGACCCTTGGGCTCCACACACCACTAGAGCCCTTAGGGAGGTAGAACCCTGCAGCTAGCTGGGTAGAGCCTCACCCAGGAAGGGATGCTGCTGAAGCGACTGCTCTGCTCACACCGTAGGCCACCTCACCCTTCCATCTCTCTGAAGCTGTCACCTGTCTGTTGCATCCCCAGAAAGCCCTCCTGATTAGCTATCTCCCTGACAGGTTCCCTCTGGCAGCCCCGAAGCTCAGGCTGGACTCCCCATGCCCTTTGACCCCGCAGCCCGACTCCAGGCTGGGCCTCACCGCTGCCTGCGCCGCCGGGGGGCCCGACCTCCTTGTGGGCCGTGCAGTGGTAGCCCTTCCGCTTGAGCAGGTTACACACCAGGATGCCCAGCAGCCCCATGAGGCAGAAGACAGGCACGATGGCGATGACCGCGTACTGCGCCGCCGTCTCCTCGGGGCCGCCCGCCCTCGTGCTGTTCCCAGGCTGCCGGGTCTCCCCGCTGCCAGCTCCCGCGGCCACCTCCACGCCTCGCCGGGCCCGGTGTCCCCACACTGGGCACCATGCAGGATGGAGGCAAGGAAGGAAACGCAGATATTTAGAGATGACGCGAATGGTGTGTGCGGTGGCAAGGGCACGGCAGTGTCTGGAGTGGTCCAGTCCCTGCAGCGCTCGGCGCAAGGGTCAGTCCACACACCCCCGCCCCCTTTTTGCCATGCTGTCCATCGGCCTGAGCAGGGCCTCTGTCTTGGCTCTGACTGCTGCCCCTTCTGGGTGGCCAGCCCCTCGACTGTCTGTGCATCCATCAGCCTGGGGCAGAGGGCTGAATGGAGGAGGCATACATGGGCACAGGGAGCCAAAGTGGCCCACCCTAAAATTCAGTCAGTGGACAGTGACCTGAGAAGGCAATTTAGCAGGTGAGATCAGCCGTGTGCCTATGTGTGTGCAGGTGTAAGTGAGTGAGCCTGAGCGTACATGTGTCCAGCCTGTGCACGAACTTGTGTGGGTACGTGTGTGCAGGTGCATGTGTGTGTATTAGAGTGTGCACTGTGTGCACTGGCCTGCTGGCCTGTGCATGAGCACGTGTGTGAGTACAAGTGTGTGCAGGGGTGTGTCTCTGTGTGTGTGTGTGTGTGTGTGTGTGTGTGTGAATGGACACTCACTCCTTCACATGGGTCTCTGAGAGGCTGGAGGAGGGGCTGGGCAGATGTGAGCCCCAGGGCCCAGTCCCAGCCCTTCCCAGTGCAGGCCCACCTGTGGCTGTCACTTGCTGGGTGGCCTCTGCCACTGAAAACAAGGTGGGCAGACCCACAGAGCCAGTGGAGCCAAGGTTGCCACCTGTCCCTGGGGGACACATAGAGTGTGGTCCTCTCTGAACCTCAGTGATCTCTGCATGGCTTCCCCTCCCACACATCTCACCCATCAGCGCCTGTGCCCCAGACTCACTCACCATCACAGCCAAGGGTGCCCGGCGACGCCCAGGAGCAGGGCTGGCATGGACCATCAGGGGCCTCCTCAGGGACAAACCACCTGCCAGGAGAAAAGGTGTCACTAGTTCCTCATACCCATCCTTGAGAAAAGCACCTTCCTGAGTACTGACCACCCCAGTTCACATGGGATGACTGAGATCGGCCCAGCCACGAGCCCCATGCCCACTCCTTGGCTCACCCAGGCCGGCAGCCTCCACACAGTGTATCTTGAGTCACCGAGCCTGCCTGTGCTTCGAGCCTGCCTCGCAGGCCACAGCAGGTGTGGGGCTGGCATGGACTAGAGCCCCATGAGGCTGAGAAGGTGCCAGAGGGGCAGGACCTGCACAGGGCACCCTGGCCCAGGTCCTGTGGGAGGGAAAGGATGAAGAGAAATCCAGGAGCTGGGCTGAGGTCCCAGAGAAGGCAGTCCTGGGCACTCCTCCCTCTGTCCCCTTCTCAGGACAAGACAGTTAGGCCGGGCTGCCATGCTCACCAGGCTGGGCTCCTCCCCTGGTGGGCACTGCCAAGGTGTTGTCGATGTTGGAATGACTGGAGGCCAGGGCAGCAGCTGGAAGAACAGCAGGCAGGAGTGTGTTGGGGGAGGCAGGAGGTCCGGGAGTGTGGGGGCCACTGACCACACAGGGCTACTCCAGTCTCACACACTGCCCATACAGAGCCACCCCCATCCCACACAACTGCACGTGCCGTCTGTCCTGCTCCAGGCCTGTTTCATGGTTACCCATGTCGGGCATGGGGTGAACCCCACCTGCTTCCAGGAAGTGCTGGAAAGCCCCAAACAGGGCTGGATCAGGATCTTAAGCTTTTGAGTCTCTGAGTCACAACCTTTCCAGCTAGGAAGAGGAGGAAATGCTTCCGAATTCCCCTCTCGAATTCCATCCCTTTCCGGCTGCTCCCACCCCCACCACAGCTGTGCATGTCATTAACTGGCTTCAGCCTGGGCCTCCCGGGCCAATGCCAAGGCAATGCTTCAATTCTGCAGGCAATACTTCCTCTTCCAGCCCCTGTATCCCCAGGGTCACATCCTCCTCCATGACCTCTCTTAGTGAGAGGCCACCTGGGTCACACTCCTGCTCCCAAATAGGGCAAGATGCATCCCGAAAGAATGTATTCCTCTCCCAGGCCACTCCACTAGGCTCAGAGGCCTCTCTGCCTCCCGTTCTCAGGTGGGACCTGTCTCTTGAACCCCTCCAGCTGTGAGAAGACACCTTGGCCTCTGATCTGACTGATGCTGGCTGGTACAGAGCAGGGCTGGCCACTCGAGGGCAGGGACTGTCCGCTGAGATACCATGGGGGCTTCCTCCAGCCTTGGACCTGGCTCCCAGCACCTGCTGGAACCTGGATGTCTGCACAAGCCTAACTCACGACCACAGCAAGGCTGTGTCTCACCTTCCCTGGATTCCCAGCATCAGAGCAGAAAAACAGACCCCAGACCAGACTTGAAGGTAGTGCCTGAGGCTGGAAGCCTGTGACCGCAATCCCACATGGCTGTGGACAGCAGGCCCACGTGGCTGTGGGCAGCAGGCCCGTCTCTGAGTCTGGGTCTGGACTATAGGGTTACAGCATCTGAGGTGCTAAGGTTTTCAGGCTCTGAATCCCAGGCCCATTTGGTCCAATTTTTCTCTCACCCGGCCCACCCTCTGGCTGCTCTGTTCCCACGCCCAGCAGGCATCTTGCCCTCAGCCATGCCAGCAAATCCTGCTTTCTTTTCCCTTCTCATTGAGGAAACTTGGAGACCTTCCGTGGATTTGCCCACCTGACACCCTTCAAAGGGAATGCTGGCTACCCACGCCCCATCCCACCATGGGTTTCTCCCTGGAGGGCTGGGGGTATAGGACTCAGATCCTCACCTCCCCAAGGTCCCGTCCCCAACTCACCATCAGAAGGCAGGACAGGGGCCAGTGCTGCGGAGCCAGCTTCATCCTCAGGCCCGTGGCTGGTGGCCAGCCTGGAACAGAGGAGGGAGGCTCAGTGGGGCAGTGGGGAGGATGTCCTCCCAGCACAGCGCTCAGACCAAGGCCTGGACGGGGCGTGCAAGGTGCTGTAGAGGCAGGCAGAGCATCGATCATCTCAGCCCACATCATCTGATGAGGCCCCAGTAGCGGTGGGTGCCCTGGGGGGCAAGAAGGGGAGGCAAGAGGCCCTGCCAGGCTTGGGAAGCTTTCTGGAGGAGAAGGAGCCACTTCCTTTCCATAAACAGCTAGGCACTTTCGGCCATCACTGGGGGGCTCTCCAAGGTAGGAAGCTTAAGGTGGCCTTTGAGGAAGAGGGAACTGAGGGGCATCTCCACCTCCCACCCTTGTCTTAGCTCTCCAGACTCCTGCAACCCAGAACTGCTGGCAGGTTCCCAGGCAAGTAGCTCTCTGCTATTTGTCCTCACTCTTGTCATTTCTGCTCTAAGGGTACCCTTTTTCTCACCCTTCAAATTTCAATGCAAAGACCTCTTTTTCCAGAAGCTTCCCAAACACCTTCCCTATCTCCACAGCTGGGTCAGGGCCTTCTTGGTACCCAGAACTCCCATGTGTGCCTTGTTTACATCTCTTCACTTCTCTAGTCATCCCACGTGACCATGACCCCCTATCCACATGAGGCCAACCATCCTGGAGGGCTGGGATGTTCTGACCGTGTCTTGACCAATGGCAGGCAAGAGCTGGGGCCAGGCAGACCTGTGGGGATGGCAGAGGTCAGAGTGGCCAGCACTCAGCCTCCAGTCACCACGTGAGCACCTGCAGTGTGCAGAGCACCTGTTCTTGGTCCCCAGCACAGGACAGCAGGGATGAAAGGACAGACAGTCACGGTCCTGGGACCTCACACTGTACAGTGGTCATCTGCAGAAGGTAGAAGGGGCCAAAAGAACTCCATCAGGGGGAGAGGCAGGGTTGGAGAATCTCAGTGGTGTCTCCACAGTCCATGGGTTTGAGGTGAGGTCCTGCCTCAGAACTTAACAGGATGAAACCACAGAAAGAAGGGGCTGATCAGACAACAAAAGGGATTGTGGCAAAGGAGTCAGGTGAATGAGCTGTTAATAGGTGCCACTGAGTCGGAACCAACTCATAGCTGACCCTCCAGCGAGTTTTAAGAGGAGACTGCCCGTCTTTGTTCTGCAGAGCAGCTGGTGGGTTTGAACCGTGTGCCTTCAGGATGGCAGTTCCGCACCAAGCTCCCTCAGGTGGGTGAAGGAAGCAGCATTTGTCTGGCATCAACAATGGCCACATACAGCTGCTGGACCCTAAGATACCACATCTTTATTTCCCATGCTTTGTACATAAAACAGAAAACAAGGCCCAGCGTCCTCCAGGAGCCTGGGGAAACCCACCTGGAACCCGCAAACTCTGATGCCTTGTGAGGGCCCCTTGCTGTGGGCAGCCGGGCATCCTGGTTGAAAAAGAAGCAGAGGAAACTGATCCTCCGCCCTCACCGCCTGGCCCAGCGCAGACCTTTTGGGGCCAGGGGTTTGAGTTACGTCCCGGGGGGAAGGGCGGTCACATCATCCTCGGGACTCTCCAGGTCACTGGCAGCGGCTATGGGCCCCAGCCCAGCTCAGGGGAAAACCAGGGACAGGAAAAGGCCGGTCACAGACAGGGTGAAGCCCACACCCAGCGGTCAGCACCTAGCTGATGGCTCCCTGTGACTCTCCCACCTCAAATGTGGTCACCAAATCTTCCTTTCCAATTTCTGCCCTCAAAGTGTCCCTCCCTCCAGCCCAGGTCCACTTCTTCCTCAAGCCCATTTTCCCATGACCCCTCCTTTGCTCTCCAAGGGACTTAAACCACAGACCTGACGCTGAGCCATAGGTCTCAGCCTAGCCCCAGCCCTGCCCCTGGCTCACATGTCTCCATGTCCAGCATGGGCCTGGTGGTGTGGGGAGAAGGACAGGTAAGAAGTGAGGGACTGAAAAAGTACCGAGGAGCTCTCCTCTCCCACTCCAGACCCTGCTTGACCCGCAGTGACCCGAGCCTGCATGGAGTCTGTGCTCAGCTCCCTCTAGACAGAAGGGGAGCCCTGTAACCTGGAGACACAGGAAGGAAAATGAGGGGGCCAAAGGCCCAGACACAAAGCCAGCAGGACCCACTCTCAGACACTCACTGCCCAGCGCCCTACCGCCTTCTAATTATGTGCCTTATAATTACTCCAAACATGCACTTATTCCAGTCTGGCTGCCTGAATCTCTGTTTTCAGCGACTTCCTCAACCCCTGCTCAGTCCAGACAGCCTGGATAGACCTGCCAGGCTGCCCTGAAAACCCCAGCTGCACCTATGAACACACACCTTCCCAACTCAGCAGGTGGGGCTCTGATCCTCTAGCCCTGGACCTGTGACCCAACAGCAGGTTCATTTAGAAGCCCCCTGGCCTGTGTAGGCACCTATGAAGGTCCCACTCCCACTCTCTGCCTTGTCCTGAAGGCTGAGCAGTCCAAAGCCGAGTAACTCCTGAGGGCTTCCTGGAGGAGGGTGTTGTGTCCAAGCTCAGAGAAGGGTGAGCATCCTCAACCTATACAACCTGTCGGGAGTGGGTGGGCTGAGTCCTTTTCCAGAGCATTGTCTAGCCCAAGGGGGTTTGAGCTAAGAGGAAAGTTAGTTTAGATGCCACTCCCCACAAGCCCTCTAGACTGGGCCCCTATTCCACTACCAGCAGTTCCGGGAGGCACAGAGTCACTGCCTCACTAGCTCATCTGCAGATGCGAACACTTCTGTTCCCTGGCAGGGGGCTCTGGTGGCGCAGTTTCTGGTGCCACTAACCAAAAGGACGTGTACGTCTGACAGTTCAAAACCCACCTGAAGCTGCTCTAGAGAAAGCTGGTCCATCTCCTCTCATTAAGATGGGAAACCGGCTGGAGGGCCGCTGTTACGTGGACCGATAGGAGGACAGGCGTTTATTGCCCATGGCAAGGCTGCCAGGAGGCTCGGGGGAGGTAATGAGGCTAAAGTAGGTCATGTGACCCCCCCCTTTCCTCTCTCTGCACTTCTTGTCAAGGTTTGTAATTAAGTATTTTCTTTGCTCACTTGTTTATTGCTTACTCCCCACCAGACAGTAGCAAGCAGTTATGTCTGTTTTAACTACCACAAAATGGGGCCCAGGCCAGGCCCTCAAACGGGCTCCTTGAGGTGGGGAGAGGGCTTCCTCACACTTGGACAATTACTGAGAAATTCCCTGGGAAAAGCCGACTAGCACACCACAGTCCTGGGCCCCAAAAAGAGGCAGGAGGCAGGAGGAGCCCTGAGAGCTGCAGCCCAAGAGGCCCCAGAAAGAGGAAGCCTTTTCACCCTGATCTGTGACCGCCCAGCCCACTGACAACTTCCCCTTTCCCAGAATTGAGTACGAACCCAGGCCCTGGCACATCCCCTCCCCCTGCCTGGGTCCTCCTCTCCTCGGATACACAGCCTCATCCAGGCCCTGCTTTCCCTTCAAAGGCTGTGACTCATACTGACCCTTTGAACGACAGATCTGAACCCTGCCTATCCTGTGCTGTCCTCATCATCTCTGACATACTTGCTAGAGCCCATCGTTATCGTCATGTGTAAATGGATGTGTAAATCCATCTCACTGAGTCTTCTTCTCTTTTGCTGACCTTCTCCAGCACGATGTCTCCTTTCCAAGGACTTACTCCTCCTGACCACACGCCCCAAGTATGTGCGACGGAGTTTCACCAGCCTTGCCTCTAAGGAGCAGCCTGAGTGCACTTCCTCCAAGAGAGACTTGTTTGCTCTTTCGGGATATTTAGTACTCTTCTTCAACACCACAACTCAAAGGCATCTGGCCACTCTATTGAAACCCAAATCCTTAAGATCACCCTGCCCTGGCCTCTAGCCTCCACTTCCACCCTACCCTGCAGCCCAGAGAACTGGACAGAGGTCTGCCCTTCACGCTCACCCTCAGTCAACCACCCTGCCCACACGCACGTGCACGCACGTACTTACACACACATACCACACACACGCGCCAGCCTCCTTAGTGTCTTTCAGGCCCTCAGACTCTCCTCTCACTCCAGCACTTGTTGCATTTTCTGTCCTAAAAGCCCTCCCATCACCTGGCCAACACCTCCTCTTCCTTCAGAGCTCAGCTCAGTCACTTCCTCCAGGAAGCCCCTTCCCCCAAGCTACCACTTCCCCTTGCAGTAATCTCCCTCCTTGTCTGCGAGGATCCTGTTTACCAGCCACTCCCCCACTGACCACTGCCCCCTCCAAGTCCAGTGCCAAGCACAGGGGGCATCCCTGGTCATAGACAGTGCTGAGCTGAAGAGGGGCTGAGAGGCAGGTGTGTGCAAAGTGTCCTCAGTACAGGGTTAGAGCCTTTTCAACGTGGGGAGGGCTGGAAAGCAGGGTGATCATTAAGGTGTCCAGAGCTAGGGGTGGAGTAGGGGTGGGTTTCAGCTAAGGTTTGGAATCTGGGACTTACTCAGGGACAGGGTAAATGAGAATTCACAGGAAGCACTCAGTCCAGGGCCTGGCTGAGAGCAATAACCATCAGTACTATTTGCTGGGCCTGAGTCCTCATCTGTAGACAGGGAGAAGTTACAGTACTAGCACACACTTGACCAGAAGGTGTGAGGTACAGATGAGAAATTCTCATTTACATTTACGGATAGTGCTGGCACCGAGCTGGAGACAGAAGAAGTGTCCACGTTTCACTAACTGTAGTGAAAATCTGAGCATGAGGATGATGCCAGGGAGGTGGAGGGCTCTGGAAAGGTTGGCAGGCCATCCCAAGCCTTGTCTACAAGCTGAAAACCTTCATCTTCTCCAAGGCTTATAGAACCCTTAAAAGGGTAAGCAGGTAAGAGAGAGGAGACTGAGCAATTTTCCTGACAGCAGAGGGCTCTCCAGGTTGCCTGCTGAGTGGTGGAAGGGCTGTGGGAGATGGTGGTGGGAGGCGGGTGCCCAGTGGCTTCAGGAGTCCCTTGGCCCGCAGGACCTGAGACTGGGTTCTGGGTGCTTCTCTTTGCCAGCTGCACCAGAGCCTGTGAATCTCTCTTAGCCTCTAGAGGCAAGAGTTGCCAGGAAACACAGCTGGACCAGGGCCTCCCCCGGAGGTGGCTGCACCCGAGGCAGGGAGACAAAGGCTGCCCATCTACACAGAAATCCAGGTTAGCGAGGAAGCCAGTGGTTCCCTGGCAACTGGGGCTGAAGTAGGGCAGTGCCCGCAGCGGGTAGTGTGAGGCCAGCAGGGCCTGACTGCTTGCCATCGGGACCTAGTCCACCTCACAAATTTCACTAGTGGGTAAACCGAGGCTGGGGAGTGTGGGTCACAGCCAGTAAATGGTAAAACAAAGATGGAGTGCAGGTCTGTTTGATTCTACTTTCCACTTCATTTTGAAGTCTTTGCCTTATTTCTGCCTCTTTTCATTCTCTGCCATGTCTCACTCACTCACTCACTCACTCACTCATAGCCGTGAAGTTGGAACCAACTCACAGCTGACCTTCCAGTGGGTTTTCAAAGCTGAAAATCAAACAGGAAGAGACTATGCATCTTTCTCTCATGGAGTGGACAGTGGATTTGAACTGCCAGACATGTTAGCAGCTAGGCCACCAGCATGCCCTCTGCCTCACCTCAGGCTCAACACACAAATTTGAAGGGAATCTGCCATCAAGACAGAGGAGGCCAGGGAGCTAGCAGCACACAGTAGGAGGTTCAAGTGCAAGTCTATGAATAATACTAAAGATCCTGATGACCTTCAGGAGGAGGTGCTGCCCCCATGCAGCAGTCTCTACCCTCAGAGATTAGCCTGCACTCTTTCTCATCGGCAGACTGTCCTAGTCTGGCCAGCTCTGGGGGGAAGGGGTGCTGAGAGCTGTGAGGAGCAAGGAGGCTGGGGAAAGACCCAGAAAGCTGGGAAGGCTGGGAATTCCCAGAAGGAGGAAGAAGAGGCAACAAGGTGGGGCCCCAGCTCCTTAGGGTAAAGGAAGGTGCAGACGCTTGCCCAGGGTCAACCAGCAAGAAGGGAGCCCTATATCTGTTCCCACTCAGGCCCTAATCAGCCATGATCTATATCAGGTTACAGCCCTGTAGTAAAGACTCCAAGCTGCACCACGACATGGACAGGTCAACAGCTGGGCCCTGACCAGCTGGCTCAGTGCCCAGGGGCTGGGCACAGCTCTGCTCCTCACAGCCCTATTACCCCAAGGCCCCGGCCGGCCTAAGCTTGGGCTGCAGTGCCTCAGGGGGACTGAGGGGGGCTAATTGGCCCCTTGAGGCTAAGAAAAGGGCTGAGGCAGCCAGACCTGGCCCCCCAGCTCTGCCCAGTCTGACTATGCACAGAAGCAGTCCAGCCTGCCCCCTTCCTCAGGCTGAGACTGGAGTTAGGGGAGAGGGAAGTCTGAGATCACAGCCATCCCTGGGGTGAAGCTGGGGCTTCCCAGCACCTCCTAAGCACCTACTGCATGCCCCAGGACATCCTAGACAGGATTTCACTGATCCCTTCAAGGAGAGGCTCCACTGGAGGAAGTGGAAGTTCAGTGCAGACCTGCCACAACTTGAAGAGGAGATAAGGTTTGCCAGCCTTAGGGGAGGCAGGGCAGCCTCGGCTATGCAACCCCAGACCCAACATCCTCTACCTCCTGCCTCAAGCCCACCACTCAACAGCTTAGTACCATGGCATTCCTGCATGGCCCTGAGCAGGGGAGGCCCCAAGACAGGAAGGCAAGAGACCTGGGATGGGCTTGAGGACACCCCACTCTGCTCTTTCACTATCTCTGAGAGTGGACACCTCACTCTACCCTCTACGGCTGCCTCTGAGAAGCCTGTCCACCGTGCTCCACACTCCGCCATAGATCTGGAACTGAATCAGCAGTGTCCCAGGGCAGCACAGAGCACACTCAGCCCAGGTGCTTGCTGGCCCACTACCCCTCCCCAGCCGACACGGCAGAGGCTTCAGGCTGGACTGTGGGAAGACCACAGCCCAGCAGTCCTGCTCTCCAACTCCTCCAGGTTTAAAGGGCAAGGAAAGAGCCCTCCTCTGAGCAGTTCTGGCTCAGGCCCTGGCCACCGGAGCTATGGTGAGGACTAGGGTCAGTGCTTGTCAGTGGGTGGGGGTGGGAAGTAGGGCAGGGTGGTCTGAACAGCCACACCTACATTCAAGCTCTAATTCTCTCACTTAGCAGTTCTATGACCTTGGATATGCTACTCACCCTCCGTCAGCTTTGGGTCCTCCTCTGCAAACAGGGGTGCCTGTTGTGGCCTCATGGGATGCCAAGGGGACAAGTGGAGCCACTGTGAGAAGTACAGCCTGGTGCCGTGCCTGGCCAGACAGTCCCTCTGAGTGCCAGTTCTCCCGATAGCCCCATAAGGACCAGAGGAGGAGCCTCCGTACAGAACAAGTGGCCCCAGCCAAGGTCAAACAGCGGCTTTGGGGAACACTTTAAGGAACCCAACATATAACCCAGCAAGCAGCACAAGTGGAGGGGCCCACCTCCCTGGGAGGACCTTGGGTGCCTATTCCCCAATGCCCCTGTACAGGTCCACTCCCGCCTGCTCCTGGGCCACTAAGGTCCGAGGCAGCGAGGTGGAAGGAGCTGAGGGCAGGCAGCTCAGCAGTCAGGAGCCAGTCCCAATGCCCCAAGCTTCTGTCCCCCCTCCCCTAAATTATGACAACTATACCTGTTCAGCTGACCTCCGTTGCGCTATGGCCAGAGGGTCCACCAACTTCAGAGCAACAGTGGCCCTTCTTAGGACCAGGCCTCAGCCCAGCCACCTCCTCCAGCAGGAAGCCTTCCTCTTCCTTAACCCCGCAGCACCTGGGGGCTCCAGTCATTACTGGATTTTTGTCTCTCTTCTAGGCGTTTGCTTTCCATGAGAGAGAGAGGCCAGGCAGGTGGATGCTGGAAGCTGGGACGAAGCAGGGCCATGGTATGCAATGGCAGGTCCCTCCTTGCATGGTCCTCTCCACTGGTGAGGATGTGCTGGTCCAAGGTTAGGTCCCTCCTCCTGAAAGCCTCCCTTTCTCTTCCCTCCACCCATACTTCAGCCCCTGCCTCTGACTGACTGTGGAGGCCCCTCGATCCCTCCCGTCGGAGCCAACCAGCCAGGGCACATACTCACAGCCACACAAGCAGGTTATTTATAGCGCTCTCATCTTTCCCAGGATGGCCCAGGAAAAAAATTCTGGCCTTCAAGGCAGGCAGACCTGGGTCTGAACCCCAGCAATATTAGGGTCTTGCTGGTGACCATGTTTCCCTGCCTTTACCTAAATCCCAAGGCTGGTCACCTGGTAGGGATAATATTAGCTCTCTCTTGGCTTCCTTGTCAACCTAAACCCAATCAGTGACACCACCAAGCTCAGGCCAAGGCACACGGGGGTGGTAATTTCTGTCGAGAACCATATATCCCAGTGCCACCCAATCTTGACAGGCCCTCAGGACAAACTGCTGCCCACCAGGCAGAAGGGTTGGCCCCATTATGAAGAGTCTGGCCTAGCCAAGTCAGGCCAGGAGCGAAACAGCTATAGCAGCACCTCTGACCCCTTTTAGATTGACCATCCCAGTGGGCTGAGAAACATGTGGCAGAACTGAAGGGAGATACTCTGTGTGGAAAGAAGAGTCAGAATATCAGGGTCGTGTGGGGTCTATTTAAAGTCTCTGCACTTCTCAGAACCTCAGTCTCTCCCTCTGTGAAATGGAGTTGGGAACCTCAGCTCTCTCACCTGGCCCTCCTTGGGGCATCTCCCTTTAGCAACTATCACACCAGTCTCAACTGGAGCCACAGGTGGAAACGGGACCTATCCCCAGTCCACTGGAGAGGTTTGGGCAAGGCAGCCCTGCCTTGCCCACAGGGCAGGGCTGGGGGCCTGCAACAAAGCTGGAACTGAGAAGTTAACCCTTCCTCTCTCTCCAGCTCCTGGGCCCCAAGCTATTTCTACCTCTGTTCAGAGGATGGAAATAACTCAGGCTCAGCCCCTAGGGACCAAGACTGCTATTTTGATCAGCCCCAAGAAACACAGCTCCAGTCATTCCAGAGAGGACTGAAGAACACCATGGTCCCCAGGTCAAGCCTTTGGGCAAGCCATCATGATCAGAACTCAGAGAGGGCTCTCTTTGGAAAAAATAAGAAGACTGAGGCTCAGAAAAGTTGGAACATCAGCTTAAGGTCACAACCTGGCTGCTCCCCAACACGGAGTGAGATGGATTTGGGAGAAGGCCCAAGACAACTGTGAAGAGTAGGATAGAGGCCTCTTGGATATAGTGAAGGTCATCTGGAACTTCAATTATCCCTGCCAGCTCTGCTGGCCTAGCGGGTAAGGAGTTGTGCTGCCAACCCAAAAGAATGCAGTTCGAGTCCACCAGCTGTTCCACGGTAGAAAGATGGACAATCTACCCTGACGTGATTTACAGCCTCTTAAAACCTTCTAGAGGGTCGGCTATGGGTCAATTCCAACTCGACAACACATAACAACAAACAGCCAGATCCCTTGGAATCTGAACTGTGCTGCCAACTTTGGACACTTCAGAGCCACGTGGACACTCCCAAAGCCAGTTGCAGGCTCTACAAGGCCTTTCTGGTGACCTCTGTCTGGGGTGAATGGTTGAGGAAGGAGGATAAGGAGGAAGAGGAACAGCAGGAAAACCACTCAACCAGGCAAGTGTGTGCACACATGTACCACGTCCAGCATGCACAGCAGGATCCACGCTGGCAAGGCCATGCTTGTCACCCGAGCTGGACAGGAGACGGCCCAGATAAGCCATGAGCAGATATGAGGAAAGGGGTGTTCCTCTCTAGGCATCTCACAGGGCTTCAGGGGCAGAAGACTTGAGTTCCAGTTCTGGCACTGTCCTACCCTGGCATGATTTTGGGTAACTCACTTTGCCTTAGTTTCCTTCTCAGAAAGGCTTTAACCACTCTCAGAACCACTAACCACTCTCAGAACCACTATGTCAATTCACTGATAGTTCTTAACATTATACTTCCTTCCCTTCAAGGAGGCAATCAGCATTTTCAGAGAATTCTAGCAGAAGACACTGTGCTCCCCGCACCCTCCATGCCTTCTGTCCACTCTAGCCTGCATGTACTCACAGGCCTTTGTGGGGATGGAGATCTCAGTGGGGTCCAGCCCAGATGGTAGACCCTACTCCAGTCTTCCAGCAAGAACAGCCTCACAGATCAGAGACAACTCACCGGTACAAATCTATTCCTCTCCCAACCTCTACCCACTTCCAACCAGAGCACTAACGGAGACCTGGTCCAGGAAAGTTG